GGTCTGGTGTCCAGTCAGTGGAGGGAGATGTGTCAAGGCAGGTGAGTGGTGTGTTGGGCCCGAACACAGAGATGAAATGAGACAAGAGGAATCTGAAATAATAACTTAGATAACTTTCAAGCTGTTGGCTTTGGGAAGGTTTTAAAAAGCAGGCAGAGGATGTAGATTATTCCAGAGATTATTCCAGGCTTTACCCCCTGCAACAGGAAAAAAATCACAGCATATTGTGGGCTGATGAGGACACAGTGGTGAGTGGAGAAGGGGAGACTGGCCATGCAGGAGAGAGGGGCCAGCTGGGAAAATAGGATCAGGGCCCAAGAGGAAGACCACACAAAGCCCACCATCCATCCACCTCTGTTGTTGCGGCCACCAAGACTTTATCCAGCCTCCCCAAAGAGGTAAGGGGTTAGCAACAGAGGGCCAGGGAGGAATGCACGAGAGAAACAGGACTCTCTGTGGACCCCGATGGGCTGACAGATTTAGTGAGCAGAGAGCACACAGCAGGTGTGAGATGTGGCACGAACCAAAAGCCTGTCTGTGGTTCTGAGTGAGCAGGGCTGGTTTCTCTGGATCTCTTCCGGGAGGGATAGTGGCTTACATCCTTGTGTTAGGCTGGCACCCCTCAGCAGAGAGACCTGTGTTGTTCTCAGACAATTAACAGAGGATGAGCATCTTGGATACAGGCAAGCAGGGGATCAGTCCAACGAGGAGCTTTGCTGTCCCACCATCCTCATGCCTCTGCTCACGTCCGCCAGACCTGTGAGTGTTTCTTGTACCCCTCTGCCTCACCTTCTCTGCAGCCCCATGATCTTCACCCTAGCTCTGAGCTAGAAGTGAAGTTAGGGTCAGCTGGGGAGGGTATCGAATCTCCTGCTCCCTCGGAGCACCACTCCTTGGTGGGTACAGATCGAACATGTTGGTCCTGAGGGAAGAAGTCCCCTTTCCAGGGCCAGCCATGCCTCTGAGGCACTGTTCTAGCCCCTGAAAATATCTACTTACGTTTGTGGAATGGGAGTAGGGGAGAGGACTGGCATGGATACTGTTTGTGGCTCGGCAAACCTGTTCCTTCTTTTCTCATCTTGGGCCTGGATTCTGTGTCAAGGCTCCAATCTTCGCAGACCCATCTTGGGTGATGTTCACAGCCTCAGATAGACTTGTGCTGTGTCTGAGCTTCCAGTATAAATCTTTTCTTCCTCCCTCCCTAACCCTCCCTTTGTTTGCTTTCAAACAAACAAAACAACCACAACAACAACCAGGCAGGTTTCAGTAAGAACATAGTCTTACAGAGGACCTAAATTTGGTTCTTAGCATCTATGTTATGTGACCTGTAATTCTAGTTCCAGGGGAACTCATGCTTCTTTTGGCATCTGCTGGTACTTGCATATATGTGCACATTGCCCTACAAAGACACACCATACACAAACACACACACACACACACACACACACACACCTTTTTTTTACAGTACACTGTAGTTGTCTTCAGACACACCAGAAGAGGGCGCCAGATCACGTTTGCAGATGATTGTTTGCCAACCTGTGGTTGCTGGGAATTGAACTCAGGACCATTTGGAAGAGCAGTCAGTGCTCTTAACCACTGAGCCATCTCTCCAGCCCAAAGCTAGGTTTGCTCACAACCTTTTGTAACTCTAGTCTCAAGGGATTCAACACCCTCTTCTAGCCTCTTTGGAGACCAGGCATGTAGTTAGTGCACAGGCCTACATGTAGGCAAAACACAAAACACCAACAGTTGTCAGAGCTTTAAGAATAGTAGTGATTTAAAAAACAACAACAAAACTTTGTTGTTTTTTGTTTGTTTGTGTAGTCCTGGCTGGCCTGGAACTCACTCTGTAGACCAGGCTGGCCTGCCTCTACCTCCTGAGTGCTGGGATTAAAGGCGTGTGTCACCACCTGGCCTTGAAGCTCCACTTTGAATTTGAATGTTTTGAAGAGCATACTGTTCTAAGGCTTAAGTCAAGCTTGCTCGCACATCACCTCTCCTGGTTGTTTGTGGAGAATGCTTATTTTTCAAAGCCTGTTAGCCACAGTGAGGACCGCATACTACACAGCCCTTGCCCCTCTCGCTCCTCCTGACTCTAATGCATTTCTGGCTGATACTGCTCCATTCCTTCTCCCTCCTGTATGGCCTCCTTCCTTTCTTCCTGACCAAACTCTGTTCCTCAAGGCTGTGAACTTGGGCCACATGCTGACCCCATCCTACCTGTCATTGTCTGCCATGTGATGATTGATACCCTGAAAGCATACCAAAGTGTCAGAAGGGAGAAGATAGCATATTTAGCAAACAAGGGCCACAGTCACTTTTCCTAGATAGGCATTGAACCCCATCCATACTAAGTCTCGTGCCAGGCCCCCAGTAGATCCCCCAAGCAGGAGAATCCTGCTGTGCTAGGGCCTGTTCTCTCGCCTGGAACTGGAGAAAGAGGTTGCTGTGTGGTAACTGCAGGGATTGGAGCTGGTACCCAGTCCTCCGGGTCTACACTTACTGTCTCTCTCTCATTTTTCAGTAGCTGGGGGATTGGCATGAGGGGCAGGGTCCAGAGGAGTGAGGCTTGTTCAGGCTCTGCCAGGGACTGGGGAACGCCCCCACCCCTACCCCAAGGGTTGTAAGCAGTAGACAAAAGCCCATGACAAAAGGCCTGTGGGAGCCTTGGTGAATAGATTAACGAGATCTCCATGCGGAGGCCTCACAATGGGATTCTCCACTCAGCCCTTTTGTTCCAGGCTAAGATAATGGAGCTGGAGGAGGCTCGCCCAGAAGGGGGCATCAGCCCTCCTCCACCACAGTTGAGTGGTGTCCAGATGCCCCCTTCTCTACCACGTACCTCCCCCCTCCCAGCCACACACACCTTCCCTCAGCAGAGGGTAATGGAATCTGGAATCCTAGAATGTCTGAGGTCTGAGGGGCTCGTGGGAATACAGAGGGATGCTGACACGGTGGTTCCCCTTTGTTCCCATCCCACCACGTCTAGATTGTGTGACTTAATTTTTAAGAAGCCCTGTAGGATTTTAGTGAAATGTTTGGCTCTACCCATGGAGACAATAGTTATTGACAGAGTGTAAAGCTTAGGTGAGGGTTAGGTCTGTCACTGTGCTGGGGATTAGAAGAAGAGCAGTATCAAACCTCAAGCCCTGCCTGGCATACAGAGATGGGTGGGGCACCCTTAGGCAGCAAGACCTCAGGAAGGCAGTGCAGGACTATGGCAGGTCGGTGGATGTTGGTACACTGGGGACCACCCACAGAAGGTGGAATCACTGTTTTGCAATCTTGGATTTCCTTACAATGAGAAGTTGCACTGTAGGAGAAACTTTACTCTTCTACTTAGTAATTCTATAACCACTGCTTGCTCTGTTATGCTCTGGACAAAGCTAAGGACTACTACACACACACATACACACACAGAAACACATACAGCAACACAGATAGAAAGACACACAAAAACACACATACAGAAAGGCACACAAAGATGCACAAACACACACACACATATAGAAACAGAGAGAGACAGAGACACAGCCACATACAGACATTCACAGAAAGACACATGGAGAGACACACATATGTACACACATATACCGACACAGACAGACAGATGGACATACACATGCACCACCCCTGTGTGGAAAGAGGGTGCTTTCTCCAGAGTCTCAGCTACCAACCACTAGGGCAGACCACAAAAACTAAAGGAACTGTTTTCCAGCCCTGGGCCACATGCAGTTGTGTGACAGCATTTCCACAGGGAAAGGAACAGTCCTTTTGGGGCTGTTTGGCCAGGAGGATACAAATTTCCCCATGAGGTTTGAAGAGCAAAGCCACAGCACTGGGAGACAGCTATGCCCTCAGGAAAATACTGAAGCCATTTCCCTAGGCCAGGGACAGGTGTGCTGGTACCTTAGCACTGTGACTCTCTCAGGCTGAAGGACAAAGGGCTTGGAGACAGGCATTGCAGGGCACTGTCAGGAGCCGTAGTTTTGACTCCTGTCTGTTGTGGACCAACTGTGTGAGCTCTTCCTGCACCTCTGTCTAACGTGGGTAAAGCACCGAGCAAGGCATGTGCTTGGCATGTGCAAGGCACCAGCAAGGCGGAAGTGGCATGAGGACCATCCTGTCCTGTCAGAGCAGGAAGGCTTCTAGCCCGCTCCTTGCTCCATCTCCCAGATCAAGTGACCTGTTCAGCACTGAGCTAAAGGGCACTACCTGGGATTTGTAGTTTAGACTGCTTTTCACACGTCATTTTGAATCCGCAGTCCCTCTGCCTGCTGTGGATTATGCCGTTTAACCTGGAGAAACAGGTTTCATAAGGTTGGGTAGTCTGCTCAGGGTCCCCTGTAAGGGTCTGAATCTGGCTCTGAAGCATGCTTCTGATTCAAAGTTCCTATCTTGCCCAAGTCCTGTGTCTTCCCTCACCCCTGGCTCTGCTGACTTAGGGACTATAGGATAGAGTATGAGTTGAAAGGGGTGCAGGAGGACAGGTGGTTGTGTGGACGTGTTAAGGGCTGGTGGGGGGCAGGGAGTTACAGATCTCCACCCATACTGAAGGCCAGGCCTGTGTGGACGAACCTGGGTCCACGCTTCAGTGTGTTGTATGCATTCGCAGGTGGTCTTGCTGGACACCAGCACTTACGAGTGCACGTGGACCTAAGGCCGCACACTCTTGCTTTCTGCTGTGTCTCCTTTTGCTACCAATTTCAACTTGAACGCAGGTGCTGGAGCCTGGCCCCTCTCCCTTCTTTGTCCAACCTTGTCCTTAGACACTAGGATTCAGACCAGATCTTTGTCCTTTCCCTTGCAGGGCTTGAGGGAAATGTAACACTCCAGAACTCGGCTTAGCGGAAGTTGCTGGAAGAACAGCCCTTGACTAACTGCTAGTCTAAAGGCCATGCAGCAGATCATAGTCACCACACGTAGACAGCAATCTTCAAAAGAAAGGGTTCAGAGACAGGCTGGCAGTTAGTGGGGACCCGGGGTCAACAGAAGTCGTCTTGAAGACATGAGAGAATTCACGCACAAGGGGGAAGGACCTGGTGCACAGCAGTTAGGTTGGACCAGATCCTGTGCCTGCTCAGGACGGCTGTGCTTGGTCAGGATGGGAATGTACTGAGGTGGGTAGACCGGCAGGCTTTTGGTTACAAGGTGTATACAGATGCAGATAAAAGTGAGAACAGGGGCAGTGGCTTTGCCTTTCTTTTTTCCTGGCTAAAGTGGAGCGCACACGACCTAAAATGTCTGAGGAGACCAGCTGGTGAATGAGTAGAATGAATAGGTACCATGTCAAGCACGGGGTGTCCTCTAAAGAGGGCTGATTCCTGCAGAGAAAATCGAGAATCAGGCTGGGAGAACAGGTCAAAGTGATCATGGGCCCTTGGGGTCCAGAGTCTGATGAGTGATCCCCAGTGCTGGTGGAGGACTGAGGTGAAGACTGCCAGGCCAAGGCCTGACAATGAGAAGAGACAATACCCATAAGGGAGTCGAAGCTCATGGGAACAAGCTCAGGCCTGGGCCTTTATTGTGCCCTTCTTCCCCTGCAGGGTTTGTGTACTCAAGGGAGACGCAAGGGTCCTCAAGGTCACAGGTCTTTGCTCTGAGCCAGAACACAGGTAATAACAGTAACTGGGGGCGGAGCCTGGGTTTGATGTTGTGACACACTTGCATTGATGTAACTGATGCTACTTCCTGTGACTCTGTCACTGGATCATTTGTCTCCTGACACCAGGGGATGGCTCTCATCTTTGAAAACTCCTTGGCGAGAGCTGAGAATCTGTAACACGTCCCTCACGTCAAGTGCCTGGTTGCTGGTGCCCTCCAGAACGTACCTTCCTTCTAGGTGTCAGTGCCTTCGCTAACGCCTTCTCTGTGGACTGTCAGGCCTTTGGCTACGTGGTTGATGTAGATGAAGGTGAACATGTGGCAGGTTTTACTTTCCAGGGCTGTCTTTTGCCATTAATCACGGCACAGCCACATCGCTGCGTATGGCCGTGGCCAGTATGGCTGGGTGTGTGCAGAACCAGAGGAAACACTTCAAGCCTGCACACGTGCACCCTGTCACTCTAGAAACTACATCTGGTCCTCTCCATAGGTTCACTGTGGTTAGTTTTGTAGGTGTGCACTGTACAAGAGCCCGTCTAGCTCTGTAGGTTGTGATGTATCCAGCAGGTGGCAGTAGAGTGTCCCAAGGAAGCCAGCTGTGGTTTGTTTTGCTCTGTGCAGTTGATGCTGGTGTTAAAACATCGGGTCTCAGGCTCCTGAGTGCAAGGGATACAGGCATACACGGCTGTATCCAACCAGCCCTGTTGTTCTGGATGTGCTGGTCCTGTCATCCAGGATGCACTGCCCCCTGTAATCCTTCAAGGTGCTGTAAAGACACCAGTCCTTTGGTGAGTCCTTAGCCAGGAGTGTCATGCTCTCAAGAGCCACAAGGCCTGAGGCCTGTACCTCTACTTTCTTCACAAAGCATGCTACTTTCTGGACTTCTCAGCTGACTGAACCATTCGAGACATTTTTTGACCTAACCTCATGCCTAGTGGAACATGTAGGATTTGCTCGATGTTATTTTGCCAAGAAGCCAGAGGTAAATCTTGGTTGTGTTTACCTGGCACGCAGGAAGTCGTAGGTTCAATCCCCAGTGCAGCCAAATATGGACACACACCAATACAGAGCTCGGAAGCTTGGGCTTGAGAAGGAATCATTGTAAACCCAGGATGCCATGGGCTCACGTAGTCTTTGGAATTTTGTCCTTGGGTCAGGCCAGCTTACTGGAGGCAAGTGCCTACATGGTGCTACTTCTCAGGCCCTGGATCTCTTATTGGTTCAGGATTGGTGCACTGGCGGGTGCTAGAGGAGGGTGTAGGGAACCTTCCGGGGACATGTCCTCTCTTCGTGGTGCAGAGACATGGTGGCATTCACAGATTGGCTCTAGATCCCCCACCTACAAACAATTTTGCTCCCTTTGAGTAACGGGTGTTTTGCAACGTGAGTCTGTCTGATCATATCTCCCTCTTCCTTTGGTGACCGGGAAGCTTGGAACAAATTAACACTCATTTTTAACCTCTCCAGTGATAAGAGCCTAGGTCCCCAAGCATGAGACGAGGCAGGTATTCTACCAGCCCTGTGATGCCCTTGACATGATCTGCACGCTGTCGTACTGTCTCACGTACCCCAGCATACTATCTGCCCATCCCAAATAACGTTTGTGAGGTGACGGGACTCATTTTGGATGGGGCAGGTAGCAGTACCTGTCCAGATGCCACAGCCTTTACAAACAGCATTCGGTCGGATTCTAGTTTCTTTAGGCCAGCGGTTCTCAATCTTCCTAGTGCTGCAACCCTAAATATGGTTGCTCATGCTGTGGTGATTCTCAACCGTAATATTATTTTCATTGCCGCTCCATAATTCTAACTTTGCTACTGTTATGAATCATAATGTAATTTTGGGGGTAAGGGGGAGTCGTGACCCTCAGGTTGAGAACTATTGCTTTAGCCAGAGGCCGGAAGAAATCCAACGGCCAGGAAATACGTGTTGCTGGGCTAGCCACTGCGGTTTCCACGGTCGATGGGCAAGATCACACTCCAGGGCCTGAGGTGGACTTGGGATCTCAGGGAACGCCAAGGTGTACAGAGAAGGAATGTCAACCTGTTGGACCTCCTACCCAGCAGCTGTGGACAGGTCGCACTAACCTTTTCAAACCTTGACACCCTGCAGTGACCTGCACATAGTGAGCGAACATGGCTCTGGTACTTCCCTCCATCAGATCCATGGAGGGGCATAGCTGGTATAGTCAGGATAACTTGCCGGGAGTGAATGCTGACCATGGCATTTCTGCGTTCCTCTTGGCGTAGAGCAAACTATTTTAAAAAACTAATTCTAGGTCCAAAGAGTGGGAGGGTAGCCTGTCAGTGGGTCCCTAGAGCCACTGCAGGAGCTGACCAGCTGCTGCTCTTTTGCCTGCAGCTCTGTTGAAGATGCACTGGACACCGGAACACGCCCAGCCCCTCAACCAGTGGCCAGAGCAGCACCTGGACGTCTCCTCCACCACCCCATCGCCCGCCCACAAGTTGGAGCTGCCTCCAGGGGGTCGCCAGCGCTGCCACTACGCTTGGGCACACGACGACATTTCCGCCCTCACAGCCTCCAACCTCCTCAAGCGCTACGCCGAGAAGTACTCCGGAGTCTTGGACTCGCCCTACGAGCGGCCGGGTCTGGGCAGCTACGGTGACGCCGCCTTCCTCAACGGTGCCAAAGGGGACCCGGAGCCCTGGCCCGGGCCGGAGCCACCTTACCCTCTAGCCTCGCTCCACGAAGGCCTCCCGGGAGCCAAACCGGCCGGCGCCGGAGGCTCCGCGGGCCTCGGGGGCTCCCCGGTGGTAGCCGGGAACTTGACCGAGCCGCTCTACACGGGCAACGCGTGCGGGGGCCCGGCGGCGGCCACCGAGTACGCAGGGGGCTACGGAGGCGGGTACCTGGCGCCCGGCTACTGCGCGCAGACGAGCGCCGCGCTCGCCCCGCCGCCTCCGGCCGCGCTGCTGCAGCCAGCGCCGCCGCCCGGCTACGGGCCCTCGGCGCCGCTCTACAACTACCCCGGGGCCGGCTACGCGGCGCAGCCCGGCTACGGGGCGCTCCCGCCGCCCGCCGCGCCTCCAGCGCCCTACCTGCCTTCCGGGCTGGCGGCGCCCACGCCCCTGCCCGCGCCCGCGCCGCCCCGGCCCGCGCCCTACGGCTTCCCCGCGGCCGCCGAGGGCGTGTCGCTGAAGCGCAAAGCGGCGGACGAGGGCGCGGAGGCTCGCTACCGCAAGTACGCGTACGAGCCCAAGGCTCCCGCGGCCGACGGCGCCGCCTACCCCGCCGCGGACGACGAGTGTCGGGGCAACGGGTTCCGCGCGAAGCCACCCGGGGCGACGGAGGATGGGACCGGCAAGTACGGCGCCGGCGGCCCTCTCAAGGTGCTGGGCTCCCCCGCCTACGCCCCGCAGCTCGATCCCTTTGACAAGTTCCCGGAGCGGGTCCCGACCGCCCACGGAGGCTTCGCCGAGCCGTCTGGGGAGCCCACCAAGGGCGTGGACCCGGGGGCGCTGGAGCTGGTGAGCAGCAAGATGGTGGACTGCGGGCCCCCCGTGCAGTGGGCAGACGTGGCGGGCCAGGGCGCGCTCAAGGCGGCGCTGGAGGAGGAGCTGCTGTGGCCCTTGCTGAGGCCGCCCGCCTGCCCCGGCAGCGCGCGCCCGCCGCGGACCGTGCTGCTCTTCGGGCCCCGCGGCTGCGGCAAGGCGCTGTTGGGGCGCTGCCTCGCCACCCGGCTGGGGGCCACGCTGCTGCGCCTGCGCGGAGCCGGCCTGGCGGCCTCGGGCGCCGTCGAGGGCGCGCGCCTCCTGCAGGCGGCCTTTGCGGCTGCGCGCTGCCGCCCGCCCGCCGTGCTGCTCATCAGCGAGCTGGACGCGCTGCTGCCGGCGCGGGACGACGGCGCGTCGCTGCGGGCGCCTCTGCTGGCCTGCCTGGATGGCGGCTGCGGCGCGCGCGCCGACGGCGTGCTGGTGGTGGGTACCACCTCGCGGCCGGCGGCCCTGGACGAGGCCAGCCGCCGGCGGTTCGCGCTGCGCTTCTACGTAACGCTGCCCGACGGCGCGGCGCGCGGGCAGATCCTGCAGAGGGCGCTGGCTCAGCAGGGCTGTGCGCTGAGCGAGCGGGAGCTGGCAGCCCTGGTGCAGGGCACCCAGGGCTTCTCTGGGGGCGAGCTGGGGCAGCTGTGCCAGCAGGCAGCGGCCGAGGCGGGTCTCTCCGGACTGCAGAGGCCCCTCTCCTACAAAGACCTGGAGGCTGCTCTAACCAAGGTGGGCCCTCGGGCTTCCCCAAAGGAGCTGGACTCGTTAGTTGAGTGGGACAAAATGTATGGCTCCGGACACTGAGGGTGGCAGAGGAGGCCAACTCTGGCTAGGAGGAGGATGTCTTTGGCCAAAGGAGTGATGAATGTGGGGCGGGAGAGGTAAGGCTCTCCCGGTGGTTTTTTTTTTTTTTTTTTAATGGGAAGGAAAATGCTTCTGCCAGGCAGATCGATGCCATACGCACCGGTGTACTCAGGTTTTTTTCTATTTATTGTGGACGGGAAGTTTGCCATCTTCGCTCGGCAGACCGGGCACACCCGACATGAGTTGGCACCAGGGCCTAAGGAACGCCTACTCTCTCTCCGTCACCTTTGTCTCTTGTCCTCTGAGTGACACCTTCCTTTCCTATTCTACTTTCTCAATATTGGCTTAGTTTTCTCCTCAGGGTTTTGTCACTGGCCCCTCCCCAAGCTGTCTCTGTTCCTTTTCAGCTCCTCCTTCCGGTCCCCATCTATCTCCCTCTGTGCTTCTGTCTCTGTCGATCGCCCTGTGTCTCCCGGACTCTATGCTTTAACCCACCCTCCCTCATTGTTCTGATTGACACTACAGCGACTCTTGGCGGAAGTTCTTTCGGCCCAGAGGCTGAGAAGGGTGTGTGGGGGGGGAGCAGGGAGCCCCAAGCCCCCTCTGTACCTTACCCACCTGAAATCTTGGGGGCTTAGGGGTGGGACAAGGATAAAAACCACCCAAAGAAAGTTTTTGTTTTGCTTTTTTGGTTTGTTCATTTTTGAGGGGAAGTCCCAGAAATGTAGGTTGCTTAATATTTTAGGCCTCTTATTTTTGTAAGACGTGTAGGATTTGCTGTTTTTCGTTTTATTTTTGACAACTCAGGAAGAAACTGACCTCAGAAAGAATGTTAGAGTCTGGCTGCTCTCTTGTTAGCCCTGCCCCGCCCCTGGGGAGCCCCGCCCCTGGGGAGCCCCGCCCCTGGGG